GCATGGTTGCGATCCACTCCCACTCTCTTCCTATACCGCCTAGATTTATTTATTTATCTATGATCTGCGCATGCGTCGACTTTCGATGATTTCCTCGTTGCATAGTACTGGTATCAATATAATAAATCAAGTGCATGCATACTGATGGCTGGGGATTCTGAGAGCAATATCTCATCTAATTAAATTGATTAAAATAATTGTTGTTTCTTATAAACAAAGCACACCAGTATGCCATAGTAGGTAAATATAATTTCCATGTAAACGTTTTACATAAAAGCATCTATTTAGCATCATCGCTCATAATGTTCATGTAATAATATTAAATAAAAGCGTTAATATATGGCATTGCTTACGTTTATCGCATCCTCTGGGTTATGAAGCAGTTTCTTGCGTAATTAGCACAATCCATGATCGCACAAGACTATATGAGTTTAGTAATTATTCCAAAATCGCATATATACGAGATGAACGAATCACATATACGTGCTCGTCCGCTATTAACACATTCACTTCTGATGATGGTAGCTCGCGCCCAGTGCCTATTAACGCAGCTGACTCCTACTTCAAACACAAGTACGCCCCGTGACTTGCTGATTACTAAGTAACTCGTGACAGCTAGCGACGCTGCTACTCAAAAGCTAGGTCTACGTACGCGTGCTCAATGTAAATGCTAGGTCTACACCTGCCTATATTTACAGGGGAAACACGGAATGGGGATTCCCCTAAAAACCCAATCCCATAACTTTCTAGGTTAATCGGCTATATCTGTCAGGCGCTACAATAACGTTTTCTACTATGCATGTGTCTACATATTTGATTAAAAAAATTAATCACCCGTGTACTAAGATAGTAGGAAACGAATACTATAAATATCTATATATCTATATAATCACACTTTGTACGGATGGCTGCTTGTTAAAACGGTCTAAATGCTTACTAACCGCCAGGAACCAGTAATAAGTAAACAGAGATAGCAGTACGCTGCCGTACACCATGGAATCACAGTGCAATCTTACAGATCAAGCCGTAGTCCTAGTGTTAAAGTGTAGGCGTACTATTAATACTACAAGTGAGTGGACTCAAACCAGGAAGCACCCTATTCATGTTTTTAAACGCACGTGACTGTTTACTAGTACAACAAATATTATTCGCGCTATTTAAAACGGCTCGAAAATTTAATTTCAATGTCAATTCAGCTCGCACGTTACGGCCGTAGTATAACTTCACTGCGGACTGGCAAAGATTACAACGCGTGATGCGTGTACTTGTGACGCACGGTTCGTACTCTGCACGTAGCACACACACACACACACACACACACACACACACACACACACACACACACACACACACACACACACACACNCCCCCTTTTCGCTGGCTTCTTGTCTCTTTTTCAACCCCCATCTCAGGACTTGATAGAAATACACCCCTTATCTCTGGACTCTTCAAGAATACCAGGGCGTCAAGTGACAAGTGATTTTGATGAGAAAATATATGGTAAATAGGAATATTTTTGGCGTTATATGGCCTCCCCACATCCCTACAGCCATCCCAATCCACCACAAATAGTTTTATTAATATACATATTTGGAATTACATCACATGCGAACAAGATTTTGATGTTTTAATGAAAAAATTCAAATGCAAAATTGATAAGCAGTTTATACATGCATAAGCACCCATACATGTAGACTACTCCAAAATAGTAGTAAAATCAGTGAAAAAAATACACGGGGGCTCAGGGCGATTTAGCCCCCGAAATGCCAAAAAGAGCCCCTGGAAATTTGCAGAGTTCAATGCAAACCAAATTTTAGAGTGCTATTTTCATGCACGCAAGCTTGAAAAGTAGCCCCTAAAAAATAAATTTTACATTTTTTCCCTGGTAGTGATAATGATTAAAAATAAAGACTAAACATGCACATGATATAAGATTATTCAAAAATTGTGCAATAACTTTTTACTATAAAGCACAAATATGTTAACTAGGAATATGTGTTCTTAGATTGCCTGATGAAATAAAATCTGTGATAGTAAAGAGTATAATACGTTAATTTAAAGTAAGGGGTGGGGGTCTGGGGGAAATTTCCCCCAGGAAATTTTGGAAAATTGGGTCACCTAAAATGTAAATTCCTGCATTCTGAGAAGGATACATACAATTCTGGATTCAGAAAAATGAAAAGCCCTCAAAAATAGGAAAAAATAGGAATTTGTCCAGAAAATAGGAGAAAATAGGAATTGCCCAAAAAATAGGAAAACATAGGAAAAAATAGGAACTTGATGCCCTGGAATACACCCCCTTATCTCAGGCTTTATTCAAATGCATTTATTTGGAGTAATTCACAAGATGAGACACTCTTTCTAAGATTTCTAGGTGCCTTACTTTATTTTGAGCCTCAGTTTTGCACCTCTGTAGTGAACACATCGGCGGGAAAATAAAAGTCGTGGATTATCAATTCCTTACGGGCTGGTTTTAAACTAGTCCGCAAATGCAGACGTAAACTCCGCTTTGCTAATCTGAGGGTGCGGGTTTATCGTCTGCAGTCACCCTTGTAAAAATTGTTGCAATTTTT